CAAATCCTTTCCCTCCAAAAGAGCATCAGCTTTGCCAATGCCCCCAGGTGCCCATTCCCTGGAGTCATCCCTGAGGTGGTGCCCACACGCACAGGAGAGCAGGGCGCTCTGGAGCCATCCCCAAGGTGGTGCCCACGCACACAGGACAGCAGGGCGCTCTGGAGCCATCCCCGAAAGGTAGGTGCCGATGACACAGACAGCAGGGCGCCTGAGCCATCTCCCCAGGCGGTGTCAGACGCACACAGGACAGCAGGGCCGGGAGCGATCTCAGGCGGTGCCCACGCGCACAGGACAGCAGGCGCCTGAGCCATCCCCAGGTGGTGCCTGACACAGACAGGAGAGCAGGGGCGCTTCTGGAGCTATCTCAGGCGGTGCCGACGCAGACAGTGGACAGCAGGGCGCCCTGAGCCATCTCGGCGGTGCCCACGCCGCAGGAGAGCAGGCGCCTGAGCATCTCGCAGGCGGCAGCCGACGCGCACAGGACAGCAGGCGCTTCTGAGCTATCCCCAGGCGGTGCCTACGCGCACAGGAGAGCAGGGCGCTCTGGAGCCATCCTGAGGCGGTGCCCACGCGCACAGGAGGCAGTGGCGCCTGGAGCCATCTCGAGGTGAGCCCAATGCCAAGACAGGGACAGCAGGGCGCCTGAGCCATCCCCGAGGCGGTGCCCACGCGCACAGGACAGCAGGGCGCTCTGGCGGTGTGGGGGCTGACTCAAGGCCACCGTGCACCCCGCACCACCACCCTGGAACAGCGGGCTCATGTCTGCGTCTTAATGGAAGCAAGAGTGCCTCCCTGCACTCCTGGAGGAAGATCCTGGAGAATAAAAACGTGTGTCAAGAGCCTTTAACACCACGAAGGGCACACAGACACACTGGGCAGCAAGGATGTCACCACAGTGCTATCCTGGGATCTCAAAAAGCAACCCAGGAGGCCCCTTCCAGGTCGATCCCTCAGAACCGCAGGTGCACGGCCCCCACGGCCAGGTCACCTGCCTACCCTCGGCTCGCTTCCCTTGCTTCCACAGCCGCCCTCTCCAGGGGTGGGGGGGAAAGGAGGTTCTCTGCCCGTGCCCTCTATGCACAAACACCTCCCTCTTTATCAGCGAGTGACAAAAACTTATTTTATTGTTATGCCTAAAACAGGGATTAAAAATTTCAAAGTCAAGAGAAGCTCACAGCACATCTTTTAGTTCATACAGACCCAAGAAAGTATTCTCTTTTTTTTTTTTTTGAGATACTGTCTTGCTCTGTCGCCCAGGCTGGAGTGCAGTGGTGCCATCTCGGTTCACCACGACCCCCGCCTCCCGGGCTGAAGCGATTCTCCTGCCTCAGCCTCCTGACTAACTGGGATTACAGGCGCCGCCACCACGCCCAACTAACTTTTTTGGTATTTTTAGTAGAGACGGGGCTTCACCACATTGGTCAGGCTGGTCTCAAACTCCTGACCTTGTGATCCGCCCACCTCGGCTTCCCAAAGTGCTGGGATTCCAGGCGTGAGCCACCGCGCCCAGCCAGAAATTACTCTTACTTGTCAAACTTTCTGGTCCTATCTTCTAAAATAACAACATTTCTCTCAGTTCTAACGGTAAAACACTACATTTTACTTTCAGAAGCATCAGAACACTTATTCTAATCCTTTAAAGAAACATCCTTTTGAGTATAACTAATTATTGCATAAAAGTCAGCTTCAACTAGGCACCACCAGTGGCTCACGCCTGTAATCCCAACACTTTGGGAGGCCAAGGTGGGTGGATCATCTGAGGTCAGGAGTTCGAGACCAGCCTGGCCAACATGGTGAAACCCCATCTCTACTAAAAAAACACAAAAAATTGGCCAGGCGTGGCGGCAGGCGCCTCTAATCCCAGCTACTTGGGAGGCTGAGGCAGGAGAATTGTTTGAACCCAGGAGGTGGAGGTTGCAGTGAGCCGAGATCGCACCCTGCACTCTATCCTTGGAGATAGAGGAGACTCTATCTCAAAAAAAAAAAAAAAAAAAAAAAAAAAAGTCACCTTCAGTCCCTGCTAGAAAGAACATGGGAGTTCCACGTGGAGCAGAATGGAGGTGAGTTCTTAACCACCCACAGGGCTTCGGGAAGTGAGGGGCAGCCCCATAACAGCTGTGGCATCCTCCTGCCTGGGCGTGCACCCCGCCCTGACCCATAGAGGAGAGGCCTGGTCACGGCATTCTTGGCACCCGGGTACCTGTCTGGACCAATGCAGCCGCACGAAATCCAGAATCACACAAACTGTGTCCGCTCACAGTTCCACAGCCATTAGGAGGCGCTAGGGACAGAGGCAGGGTGGAGGGGCACGGTGGAGGCGGCACCGGCCAACAGCCTCGGGAACGTGGAGTGTGCAGTGATGGAATGAGCCTGTCCCATGTTCCCCAGGCACTGGCGACCTCGGCCCACGCTGCGTCAGCAAGGCTCCCAGCCCTGACATTTTTCTCCCCAAGGGAGGCAAGGCCGCCCCCCACCCCCGCCTTTAATCTCGTCTTAGTAAAAGGCGAGAACCCACTACTACCTTCAAACATCTGCACCCTAGGGAGGATCTGAATTGTATTTTTTTTTTAATTGCTATCACAGCATTGCTAAAAAATAACCCCTAAAACACTAAATATGGCTGGGTGCAGTGGCTCACGCCTGTAATCCCAGCACTGTGGGAGGCGAGGCGGGCGGATCACCTGAGGTCAGGAGTTGGAGACCAGCCTGGCCAACACGGTGAAACCCCATCTCTACCAAAAATACAAAAATCAGTCAGGCATGATGGCGTACACTTGTAATCCCAGCTATTCGGGAGGCTGAGGCAGGAGAATCACTGGAACCCAGGAGGCGGAGGTTGCAGTGAGCCGAGACCACACCACTGCACTCCAGCCTGGGCAACAAAGTGAGACTCCATCTCAAAAACAAAAAACAAAAAACAAAAAAACATATTTTCAAGGATATAATGTTTACACAGTCACCCTTGGTCCACGTGCGCCCCGCTTCCCGAAGGGGCGTCTCACGTCCCTTCATCACATCACTGCCCACAGTTCAGAGATGACTAGTCTGCCCCCGGCTCAGGGATGCTGACTGCCGTAAAAAGGCCGCCCCCGGCCCACACTCGTTCTTTTCAGGGGCAGGAGAGACAGGCAGCCTGTGCCGAGGCTTGGGTCCTCCAAAAACCAAAGACCTGATGTGGGTGTCTGACGTTTCCCAGGTGCAGACGCTTGTGCTCCTGCCAGGTTCAAGGCACCGCCCTGTAAGGAGAAGGAAGGCGCCCAGAGGACTGCAGTGAGAAGATCTCGCTCTGAAGAGCAGAGGGTTAGAAAGGAATGAGTGGCCGGGCGCGGTGGCTCAAGCCTGTAATCCCAGCACTTTGGGAGGCCGAGACGGGCGGATCACGAGGTCAGGAGATCGAGACCATCCTGGCTAACACGGTGAAACCCCGTCTCTACTAAAAATACAAAAAACTAGCCGGGCACGGTGGCGGGCGCCTGTAGTCCCAGCTACTCGGGAGGCTGAGGCAGGAGAATGGCGTAAACCCGGGAGGCGGAGCTTGCAGTGAGCTGAGATCTGGCCACTGCACTCCAGCCTGGGTGACAGAGCGAGACTCCGTCTCAAAAAAAAAAAAAAAAAGGAATGAGTGGGAAACTGTTTCCACCGCTCAGATCCGGCTGGTGCCTCAGAAAGCCTCCAGGTGCAGCCGTGCGGGAGCAGCAGGGCCTGGGCCCTCCCCATCCCGGCTCCAGGCAGATGAGGAGATAATGTCCTGTGATTGTCCCCGCTTCCTTCCTACCAGTGAGAACACTTACTGATGAGCGCTGGCAGCCTGCCCCCACCACGGGGCCCGGGGACACCGCGGCTCAGCGGGGAAGACGGTTTCGCTCTTCACAGCGAAGCGGGGTCCTCTGCCCTCATCCCGGGGCCCGCTGGCCCTTGCCACCATCATTGTTCCTTCCCCAGCTCCAGTGAGGCTGGGGAACTGCTTGTATTTGCTCTGCTCTATTTTTTTGGGGTGTCTGCTCATTTCATCTCTCTTCTTTGCTACAGTGTTTATATTTTCCTTACTAAATCATAGGGGTGCTTGAAACATGAAGAAACTAGCCATTAATAATACTCAGACTTGTGGCCGGGTGCGGTGGCTCACGCCTGTAATCCCAGCACTTTGGGAGGCCGAGGCGGGCGGATCACAAGATCAGGAGATCGAGACCATCCTGGCCAACATGGTGAAACCCCATCTCTACTGAAAAATACAAAGAAAAATAGCCTGGCATGGCGGTGGGTGCCTGTAGTCCCAGCTGCTTGGGAGGTTGACAGGAGGCTGAGGCAGGAGAATGGCGTGAACTTGGAAGGCAGAGCTTGCTGCAAGCCAAGATCGTGCCACTGCACTCCAGCTTGGGGACAGAGCGAGACTCCATCTCAAAAAAAAACACAAAAGAAACTCAGACTTGTGACAAGCCCAGCCACGCCCAACGTGGACATCGTCCCATCTCACACATGGTAGACCCAGGTGCTCTGGGTTTCCACCCTCCAGGCGCAGGCTGACATCCTTGTTTCTGGATGTCAGACCCTCCCTGGGCTCACCCTCCTAGCTCAGCTCCTCCCTCTGGGCGTCAGGCCTCACAGCCAGCCTGGGCCTCCTTATCTCAGGAACGCACCTGAGCCTCTTCCACTTGTCTTCTCAGCCTGATGCTTTTAAACCTGGAATCTTCCAACAATCTCACTCGTGTTTGTGCCAGGAATGAGGCCAGGCCCAGCCTGACACCTATCGCAAGGCCAGAGTACTCCCAGCACTACATACATGCTAGTTCTAGGTAAGCACTTTTTTGGGTTGGTTGGCTGGTTTTTGTTTTAAATTCCTGCTACTTTTCAGGAAGATGCTAATAGAATGGAAGAAAAAAACAACATTTTATACACGGTGCGATACATTTAGGTCATGGCAACCAAACCCATCAAACTACACTTCAAAACATGCTTCATTGTGAACTTGCAGCTCGTAACAGGAACACACCAGAGCCTACCTTGGATCCATGCAGATACTGGGGTTGTGCATTCGGCTGCTTATCTCTTTGAAATTCCTGAGAAAATGGTAATACTGTCCGAACAAACCTAAACAAGAAAGATTTAAGAAAGAAAAAGAAACCAAATTTAATAATAGTTCTTTAAAATTCAGAAGTCCTCCATAATCCGTCTACTAAATCTTCCTCCCAGTCAACTGATACAGTCATCAAATAGGAAAATTCTAGCGAATCGAAAACCATAGAATGAAGGAGATATCAAGACTCAAACATGATACATGCACCCAAGGCTCAGGAGCCACAGCAGGAACACCTGAGGCTGGGTCTGCGGTACCAGAGCCGCCTCGAGCCCAGCGCAAACCTCAGGTAGCTCATGAGCTCTGCTGAGACATGGCGAGGATGGGGGGCAGCCGCCTGCGACGAGAACAGCGACGCCCCAGTGGTTCAGATCACAAGTTACACACCAGCAGGGAACGACAGGGACACTTAGGGATTTGTAACCCACGCGATTAGTCAAGAGATTGTGTCTTGGTAATGGATTAGGGGCCACTTAAAATCAAATGTATCTATTTTCAAGCAGAAACATCAAACTCAGCCAAGGCTTTCAAATTGGAAGGGTTTGTTTAAACACATACAACTTTTGCAAAGAAGTATAAGAAAGAAAAATTTGTGGATTTGCTGTATGTAATTCCAAGCATTTGATTAACTCATATTCCACTTCAGGAAATGGAAACAGATGTAAGTGTGAAAATACTGCTGTCACACAGAATGTGTGCATCCGAGAAGACGTGCTGGGCAGAGCAGCAGCTGCCAGGCCCCCTGACCACCTACTGCGGCACGGCTGGGTGTGCCTTTCCAAACGGATCCTAAATCCCTGTGCCGTCAGTATGCCAACATCCCTGGGTGCCACAGTCCTCAGTGCTTGGCGTGCATGTCTGTCTGCATGTCTCGGTGCACCTGCATCTGTGTGAGTCCATGCACGGAGATGTTATCTGCACGTGTCTGCAAGAGGACGTGTGCACGTCTGTGTGTCCCTGCACCTGTGTTCTTACACCCGTTCCATCAGGAGGCACCGCGGTCAGGGTGATGCTCGAAGCAGGAACCCCATTTCCCAGAGATTCCTGGGCACTGCTCACACCCTTGACAGCAGCACACCTGCAAAGCCACGGCACATCCGCCAGCCTCCGTCCACCTCCAATGGTGACACGCCGACAAAACCACGGCACACCCGCCAGCCTCCGTCCACCTCCGATGGTGACACACCCGCAAAGCCACGGCACACCCGTCAGCCTCCGTCCACCTCCGATGGTGACACACCGACAAAACCACGGCACACCCGCCAGCCTCCGTCCACCTCCGATGGTGACACACCGACAAAACCACCGCACACCCGCCAGTCTCCGTCCACCTCCGATGGTGACACACCCGCAAAGCCACGGCATACCCGCCAGCCTCCGTCCACCTCCGATGGTGACACACCCGCAAAGCCACGGCACACCCGCCAGCCTCCGTCCACCTCCGATGGTGACACACCGACAAAACCACGGCACACCCGTCAGCCTCCGTCCACCTCTGATGGTGACACACCGACAAAACCACCGCACACCCGCCAGCCTCCGTCCACTTCCAATGGTGACACACTGACAAAACCACGGCACGCCTGCCAGGCTCCGTCCACCTCCGATGGTGACACACCCGCAAAGCCACGGCACACCCGTCAGCCTCTGTCCACCTCCGATGGTGACACACCCGCAAAGCCATGGCACACCCGTCAGCCTCCGTCCACCTCCGATGGTGACACACCGACAAAGCCATGGCACACCTGGCAGCCTCCGTCCACCTCCGATGGTGACGGGGGCTGTGCAGGAGAGGACAGCAAATAGAAAATCAGAATACAAATCCATGCAGGAGCCAAGCACCGGGATATGATGCCACTTATGTTACAGCAGCCTTTTCTTTTTTTTTTCTTTTTTTTTCCTGAGGTGGAGTTTCGCTCTTGATGCCCAGGTTGAAGTGCAGTGGTGTGATCTTGGCTCACCACAACCTCCGCCTTCCAGATTCAAGCGATTCTCCTGCCTCAGCCTCCCGAGTAGTTGGGATTACTGGCATGTGCCACCACCACACTTGGTAAATTTTGTATTTTTAGTAGAGACAGGGTTTCTCCATTTTGGTCAGGCTGGTCTTGAACTCCTGACCTAGGTGATCCAACCACCTCGGCCTCCCAAAGTGCTGGGATTACAGGTGTGAGCCACCGCGCCCAGCCTACAGGAGGCTTTTCTATGTCTGCTTAGAACACAATGTTTTCTCTGCTTAGAATGTTTAAAACGATGGTTAGATTTAGAAAGCAGGCCTTATTTTGTCTGTGATACAACTTACATACAGTCGAAGTAATGCAATTACTCTCTATATTATTTAAAATTTTAATCAAAATACAAGTATATGATACATGATATAATACATGTATTTTATTCTATGTAGAGATAATTATATATACACATTTATAATCTATATGTATAGATTTTATATATATATATATATATATATTTTTTTTTTTTTTTGGGTCACCCAGGCTGGAGTGCAGTGGTGTGATTTTGACTAACTGTAGCCTCAACCTCCTGGATTCAAGTCATCTTCCCACCTTAGACTCGTGAGTATCTGGGACTACAGGCCACTATGCCTGGGTAATGTTTGTACTTTTTGTAGAGACGGGGTCTTGCCATGTTGGCCAGGCTGGTCTTGAACTCCTGAGCTCAAACGATCTGCCTGCCTTGGCCTCCCAAAGTGCCAGGATTATAGGTGTGAGCCACTGCGCTCAGCCTCTATATTTTTTTTTTTTTTTTTTTTTTTGAGACGGAGTCTCACCCTGTCGCCCAGGCTGGAGTGCAGTGGCACAATCTCAGCTCACTGCAAGCTCCGCCTCCCGGGTTCACGCCATTCTCCTGCCTCAGCCTCCCGAGTAGCTGGGACTACAAGCGCCTGGCACCACGCCCGGCTAATTTTTTGTATTTTTAGTAGAGACGGAGTTTCACCGTGTTAGCCAGGATGGTCTGGATCTCCCGACCTCGTGATCCACCCGCCTCGGCCTCCCAAAGTGCTCGGATTACAGGCGTGACCCACCGCGCCTGGCCACTCAGTCTGTATATTTCTAAATAATAGATTTCTACAACTTCTTGATTGATCAAGCTTACACGCTGATTGACTCCTGGTAGGATCTGGCGGCCTCTGGCGCAGTTCTAGGAGGCAGTCTCTACATCCTCACTTCTGAGTGACAGGAATGACTGGTATCACGGGGCCACACCTGACTTTATGCCAGCAAGATGACTCAACATGCGGCTGGAGGCCTGGGGCTCCGTGCCTGGTGAACTCAGCCGATCTCCCAGGAGGTGAAGGGCTGGAGTCTGAGCTCAGCCACGTGGCCAGTGATTCCGTCAACTGTGTCCATGCCACAAAGCCCCAACAAAACCGAACACCGCAGCCCAAGTGAGCGCCCCTGGCTGGTACCCTGAGGAGTGTCGCACCTCGGGGCTCGGAGGGTGAAGCGTCCCTGAGGACAGGGAAAGCTTTGCACGTGGAAACCTCCCACTTTGCCCTGCACGTCCTTCCAACATGCATCCTTTCCTCCGACTGACTGTAACCGTATTAGGGCACGCTCAGTGAGTACTGCGGGCCTGTCACCTGAGGAGCTGGGGAGGGTGGATCCAGAACTGCAACCTGCTGGTTAGAAGTGAGGGTGGCCCCGGGGACCCCAAATGTGTGGCTGGTGCCCGCAGCAAAGGCAGTCTTGTGGAGGACTGTGCCCTCAGACGTCGCAGTTTGACAAGGTCACTGCAATCCCCTACGAGGAAAACTAAGTTTCAGCACCAATATCCTAAGCCCCCACTGCATGTGTCTCAGGTAAACTGAGGTTCAGCTCTAGCCTTATTTTGACCTGGTCAGTGCTGGGCCCAACAGCAGCTTTTTTCCTTTGTGTTGATCCTGTTTGAGGTTTATTGAGCTTCTTGTATCTGTAGGTTTATCGTTTTCATCAAATCTGGGAAATTCAAGGGCATTAATTTTGAAATCTTTTCTGCCCACCCACCACCTATGACGAGGATTCCAATCACAGGCATACTCGAATCGCTGATGTTTGTCTCTCAGTTTGCTGAGGCCCTTCTCGTTTTTTTCATCATTTTTTTCTTTCGGGCTTCAGTTCAGCTAGTTTCCATTGTTATAATCTCGAAAACTCAGTTCCTGCAAAGTCTACTCTGAAATTCGGGCCAACAAGTAATTTTTCATTCCAGATACTGCATTTCAGCTTTAATTCACTGGATCCTTTTAGGTAACATCCATTTATCTCCACACTGTTTTGTTGTGAACCCTTGAGCACATGCATAGCTGCTGACTTAACATCCTTGTCTGCAAATTCCATCATCTCTGTCATTTCTGAGTTTCTTTTGTAGAGTGACTTTTCCCCAGGCTATTGGTCACATTTTCCTGGTTCTTGGCACATCCAGTAAATCTTAATTGGGCACTGGGCATTTCAGCATCATGTTGCATGTCTTGACTTTGTTACTGTCTTTTAGAGAGTGTTGGCCCAGCACGGTGGCTCGCACCTGTAATCCCAGCACTTTGGGAGGCCGAGGCGGGCGGATCACCTGAGGTCAGTAGTTCAAGACCAGCCTGACCAACATGGTGAAACCCCGTCTCTACTAAAAATACAAAAATTAGCCAGGCATGGTGGCGCATGCCTGTAATCCCAGGTACTTGGGAGGTTGAGGCAGGAAGAATCGCTTGAACCCAGGAGGTGGAGGTTGCAGTGAGCCGAGATCACGCCACTGCACTCCAGCCTGGGCAATGAGAGCGAAAGTGTCTCCAAAAAAAAGGGAAAACTAATGCAACAAAGGGATATGGAGAACAGAATGAGAAGGTCTAACATACGTCTAACTGAAGTCCAGAATGGCAAGAATAGGGAGAAAAAAAGAGAGAGAGAGAGAGAGCTGAGTGTCTTGGGGGACAGGCAGTTGACTTGTCAAGCTGCTGGATCTTGTCATGATGCATTAAAGACAGTCTCACTCTGTCACCCAGACTGGAGTGCAGTCACACATTCTCGGC